TGGGCATTTTATAAAAATGGGCCTCCCGGGGGCAAGGGGAACCCTTTTGGGGGGGAGTGTTTTTTTTTTATGGGCATTGTTTGGAAAGGGGGAGGGCCCCCCGGCCGGGGGGGCTGGTTTTTCAGAGGGGGTGTTGGGAAAAATGCCATTAACAAAAATGAGGGGTCCCCCCGGACTGATTCCCCAGGGCCAATTCCCGGGGAGCTTTCGCAGGTGGGGCAGGGGGAGCAATTTTTTTTTTTGGAAAACGAGGTGGGCGGGGGGGGAGCTAGAAACCCCAACAGTAATAGGCCCCTCCCGGGGGGGGTTTACATGACCAAGGCCAATGGGAGGGGGTTTAGGGGGGCCCGGGCATTCCGCCCCGGGGACAAGGGGGCCCCCCCCCCCCCCCCCCCAAATCCTAGCTGTGTGTTGTGTGCGGTATATGCCTTGCTGAAGAGGGTCGTTTTTTTCTTTCGTGCCACTATTGTTTCTCCACAACCGTACAGTTCCTGGCCCGTACAATCGCTTTCTCGCTCGCTCTTTGTGTCTTTGTGTCTCCTCCTTTCATCACCTCCGATCACTACGCTCGTAGAGAACATTACTGATGTGCATAATAGTACATACAGCAAGAATCCATCGCTTTTCACCACTTCCGATGTTTGACCAAACCTGAACGGTTTGGGCTACTTCCTTACCTGTGGCCCCCCGCAGGCAAGATTCCGGAATCGTTCGGCCAACTCATTAACCTCGAGGAGCTGGTGCTAAGCGGCAATCAATTTACTGGTGAGGAGAGTGAGAGACCAGGCGTCGTGTTACCTGCTGGAGATGGCCCGTCAATTGCTGGCTTTTACGCCGATACTGATGTGGGGGTCAAGCTCCAGGGGGGCACGGTGTCCGGGAGGGGGGGGGGGGAGGGGCGTACTCTTATGTTTTGCAGGCCTTAGCAGTTAGACCGTTGACCATGCGTCCTCGAGAGGACGGAGAATTGTTCCCACAGGAGCGATCGCCGATGGCCAATCGTTCCTTCCTACTTTGCCAATGGTGGCTCAAAAATTTATTCCCTAGACTGTCTATCCTAACGATATCCCTTCCCGCCTTTTCAAACCATTTTCTACTCCCCAGTACAACTACCATCTGTTCCATGCCTTAATCATCTCCCTGTATCCTTCTACTTTTCCCAACTCGGTCATGTACACTTCCCTCTCCTTAATTGTACAACCGACGTTCCGCAACTACATGAACCCGGTCTTT